GTACTAGTGCTTCATCCAGCAAGTGTGATAAACAGTCTTGGAAACGGTGCCTTTAATTTTCACCTTTTATTACATATGATTATTTTGTTCGGTAATACCATTAGTTTTAGATGCAGAATTCATATAAGTTAAACCAAATAATTTCTTTAAGCAAAGTTTTTTTTCTAACCTAAATCTTGACCACTTGCCCGACCATTTCCTTGGACGTATAGCAGAGAGTAACCAGTCCAGAGCGGTTTTTTGTTGAAAGGGCACGTCGGAATCTCTGTCGTTTGAGAGTGACGAGCAAATATAAAACCGACTTCCGGTGATGGTCCACCTGGTTGACCCACAAATCCCGGTGGACCAGGAGGTCCTGGCTGTCCTTGCCGTCCACTTGGTCCAGGAGAACCGGGATTACCGTCCTCTCCTACATCTCCAGCTTCTCCAGGAAGCCCAGGATTGCCAGGTGGACCTGGACGGCCTGGATAGCCAGCCGGTCCAGATGGTCCTTGCAAACCTTCAAAATTCTCTTTTGAATATATGGTGTTAGGTTTATGAATAATAAATATTTGATTTATCTGAAGTACAAAATTGCTACGGGAATATGCTGAACAATAAAAAGATGCTTTTTAATTAATTTTTCACTGGTTACGAGGGTTACAACAAACAAAAGTGAAAAATTATTGCTTTGTGATATTGAATGTGGTAATTCCTTCGAATACAGTCTTAAAAAATTGGAAAACTAATTTCGTGATTACCTGGTTCTCCGGTTTCTCCTGGGTATCCCTTTTCTCCTCTGGGTCCAATATCTCCTATTTCTCCTTTTGGGAAGAACGTTATGTCTGGTACAAATGGTAAACCTTGGAGTCCCATTACACCTTGTCTTCCTGGAATTCCAGGGAGGCCTGGTGACCCTGGCTTTCCTAGATCACCTCTCTCTCCTTTTGGTCCAGGCGTACCAGGAATTCCTGGAAAACCGAAATCTCCAGGATATCCTGGTGCACCAGGGATACCGGGAGTCCCTGGTTCACCTGGATAGCCAGGCAAACCATTGAGCCCTCTAACGCCTTCTGGTCCAACATCTCCTTGTTCTCCTGGGTACCCTATTTCTCCGTCAATTCCAACCAAACCTGGTAAACCAGGAAGACCGTTTGAACCTAAAATGTACATCAGAAATTTCATTTTCCAGTTACTTAAGCTGCTAAGGATGTTATTGGGAAAATCTGACTACTGAATTGGGTTAGCATTCTGAGGCACTTAAGAAGCTTGTTAAGGGTAGAACTCACTAACAGGCCTAGAAATACTACGTTATTTTGAGTTTCTAATACATCTGGTGGTCCGTCAGCCGCTTTTACAATTTGATAAAGAACTTTTTCAAAAGTGTGGGTTTTTACGTGTAAGTTAATTATTTTAGTACAAGAGGATTATTTTGTGGTTCGAAGTAGAAACGCAGGGACCAGTGAATTTCGTGCATTTTTCTTACTAATACTAAGGCACTCCAAAAGAAACTTTTTGTTCAGCTTTATTAGTCACTGCTCTCTTATTTTAACAGTAGACAGCGTAAAAAAGATATCTCCTTGATCAACAGGCTATAAATAAGACCAAGTTGTCATGTGATTTTATTCAACTTTTATCCTCCTGTAAGCCGTATTTTGTGCTTCTCGTTCAAAATTCTCAAAAAGACAAGTTTTTAAAGGTGAGAGCATCCCATTCTTTTATTCCTAGTAAATTGTGGAATTCAATTGCGCTACAATAAAAAGTTCACCTCTTTTGCCGTTTATGCCCGGGAGACCTTGCTCGCCTTTTATTCCAGGAACCCCGTCCTCACCTCTTTCACCCTTTGCACCACCGACACCTGGCTGTCCCCTTTCCCCCCTAGCACCTGGGTGTCCTGGCAATCCCGGAAGACCATCTTTTCCGTGTACTCCTGGCAGTCCTTCGTCACTCATAATAACTAAAAGCTAGTAAGGAATAATTTTTCACAGACAGAAAAACTCCCGGAAAGGTTTCAAAGTCTTTGTTTTAAAAGATCCTTCCACACAAAATTTGAACCTTCTCCATCCGGGCCTGGGACTCCAGGGATACCGTCGTCGCCTCTTTCTCCTGTTTTTCCAGGCGGACCGTCAGCACCAGGAAGGCCAGGAATTCCAGCATTGCCTTGTTCGCCCTTTTCTCCTGGTATCCCATCTGCTCCTGGTAATCCTTCTTCGCCAGGTAAACCTGGTATTCCTGGTACGCCTTGCTCCCCCTATGAAATTTATATATGGGAAATTTTTAGTGTGTCTAGGAACCCTTTAAGTAAAAGTAATTAATTACGATTGGTCCTGGCAGTCCAGGAGCACCGTGCATCCCAGGTACTCCTTCTTCGCCTCTTTCTCCCTTCTTTCCATGCCTTCCTGCTCTTCCAGGCAGCCCATTCGACCCAGGTTCGCCTGATATCCCTCTTTCACCAAAAGCTCCAGGAATTCCACTGAGCCCGGGACTTCCAATAACGCCAGGTAAACCTGGTAAACCAGGTTCTCCTCTGTCTCCAGGGATTCCTTGTATCCCAGGTTGGCCATCAACACCGGAACTTCCTGGAGCTCCGCTATTGCCAGGCTCTCCTTTAGGGCCTATAAAACAAACAGTTTTTGCGCCTTAATGTTATCGTGAAAGTCACGTTGCTCCGAATTTTAGCAAGTTTTTCAAAAGCGACTGGTGCTAAAAGAGGAAAAAAAGTTTATATTGTTTTTAAACATACCAGGAAATCCTAAAAATCCTGGTGTTCCAGGTTGACCATCAGAACCGCGTAAACCCATCAGTCCCGGTTCGCCTGGTGCTCCTTTCAAACCAGGGTGACCTGGAATTGCTTCGCCAGGTTCACCACGCTCACCCCTTTTTCCAGGAAAACCGTCGGTACCAGGAAGGCCCGGTGGTCCTACAGGACCAGGGCTTCCATCGTTGCCTTGCATGCCAGTTTGTCCTTTATATCCAGGTTCTCCTGGAAGCCCTCTTAACCCTGGAAGCCCATCTTCACCTGGGACTCCGGATTGTCCAGGGAGACCTGGAGCACCTCGCACACCAGGTAGACCAACTTCTCCAGGTTTGCCTTGGTTACCAAATATACCTGCTTCGCCTTTATCGCCTCTTTGCCCTGGATACCCAGCATTTCCAATAAGCCCTGGTTCACCTACCTCTCCGTCCATACCGGGAAAGCCATCAGTTCCAGGTTCTCCTACGAGGCCAGGAACACCCGGCTGTCCTTCTTCTCCTGGAACTCCATGAATACCATCAACGCCCTTCTCCCCTTCAAAACCATTAGGCCCTTCTAATCCCTGTAGACCCTCCATTCCTTTTTCTCCAGGTAGTCCTTCAACTCCAATAAGCCCTGGCTTTCCGCGTCTTCCAGGAATTCCTGGTAAACCGGTATCCCCTCGTTCACCTTTTGGACCCGGGTAACCTACAGGACCAGGAAACCCGTCACCTCCTATAAGTCATTCTAATCAATAGCAGAACAAGAAAACTTAAAGGACACAGTAAAAAAGAATGAAATTTTCTATAAAAGAACCATTCTGTACAAATTATACTGCTCTACGAGGATAGAATATAATTTCTTTCTTGAAGTGTACTGTAGAGATGCAACGCTGGCACGTTTACAGATTGTTCAGTCACAATTAAAGGAGGAAAAGTTTTGTGCCGTGTTCCTTCGAAAACTTTTATTCTTTCGTTCAGTTAAGGTTGAAGGTTTTCTAGTAAAACTTGCGGTA